AAAATCTGTTCTGAAGATGGTCTACCAGTGGGCGAATTTTATGAAGCCTATCATATTGGGGATGATCTCTGGGGTGACAGAGCGTATTGTCGTTGAAATGTAAGTATCTACGCAGCAGCCCATATCTTGGTCTAGGCATTGTTTGGGAGTATATAGGAGACGAACAAATTGGGTTGGTGCTCCAGTAAGAGCGGATTGATGGCTTCTTTATTATCCCCATGAGCATTGTTATTAAAAAGTTGCACTATTGAAGGCAACAGAAAATTGCATTAGGCTTGTCAGTAAAAGCAAAAAATTCAAGAAACCACTGTGGTACTCCGCAGATGTGGCCAAAATAGTTAAAAACAAAAAGTTAGCATTTAGGAATTATAAAAAAACCCAGAGTGAGGGAGACAAAATGATCTATAAGATTAGGCAGAAAGAGGCTAAGCAAGTTATAAGAGCTTCCAAATCACACACAGAAGAGAAAATAGCACAGTCAGTAAAAAAGGGGGATAAAACATTTTTTAGATACATAAATGAGAAAAGAAAAGTAAAACAAGGATTAGTTAGATTAAAAACAAAAGAAGGAAGGTATGTAGAAGAGGATAAAGGTCAGGCTGACTGCCTCAATGAATATTTTTGTTCTGTATTTACAGAAGAAAATGAAGGAAAGGGACCTCAGTTGAGAAAAAGGATAAATGAGTCATTTATTACACGTGAGTTTACAGAGGAAGAGGTTCTATTTCAACTGTCAAAAGTAAAGACAAATAAGTCAATGGGACCTGATGGAATACACCCAAAGCTATTAAAAGAGCTTAGTGGTGTACTAGCAAAACCATTAACAGATTTATTTAACCAATCATTGTTAACAGGAGTAGTCCCAGAAGATTGGAAGTTAGCGAATGTTGTGCCCATTTACAAGAAAGGTAATAGGGAGGAGTCGGGCAACTATAGGCCAGTAAGCCTTACTTCAGTAGTGGGGAAAGTGATGGAAACCATGTTAAAGGATAGGATTGATGAACATCTAAAAACACATGGATTTCAAGATCAGAGACAACATGGGTTTACTTCAGGGAGATCATGCCAAACTAATCTTATTGATTTTTTGATTGGGTAACTAAAATTATAGATCAGGGTGGTGCAGTAGACATTGCTTACCTAGATTTCAGTAAGGCTTTTGACACTGTTGCACATAGAAGGCTTATCAATAAACTGCAATCTTTAAGTTTGGATTCCAATATTGTTGAATGGGTAAGGCAGTGGCTGAGTGACAGGCAACAGAGGGTTGTAGTTAATGGAATATATTCGAAGCTTGGACTTGTCACCAGTGGGGTACCTCAGGGATCTGTACTTGGACCCATTCTCTTTAATATTTTTATTAGTGATATTGCAGAAGGTCTTGATGGTAAGGTATGTCTTTTTGCTGATGATACTAAGATATGTAACAGGGTTGATGTTCCAGGAGGGATAAGCCAAATGGCAAATGATTTAGGTAAACTAGAAAAATGGTCAGATTGTGGCAACTGACATTTAATGTGGATAAGTGCAAGATAATGCATCTTGGATGTAAAAACCCAAGGGCAGAGTACAGAATATTTGATAGAGTCCTAACCTCAACATCTGAGGAAAGGGATTTAGGGGTGATTATTTCTGATGACTTAAAGGTAGGCAGACAATGTAATAGAGCAGCAGGAAATGCTAGCAGAATGCTTGGTTGTATAGGGAGAGGTATTAGCAGTAGAAAGAGGGAAATGCTCATGCCATTGTACAGAACACTGGTGAGACCTCACTTGGAGTATTGTACACAGTACTGGAGACCGTATCTTCAGAAGGATATTGATACCTTAGAGAGGTTCAGAGAAGGGCTACTAAACTGGTTCATGGATTGCGGATAAAACTTACCAGGAAAGGTTAAAGGATCTTAACATGTATAGCTTGGAGGAAAGACGAGACAGGGGGGATATGATAGAAACATTTAAATACATAAAGGGAATCAACACAGTAAAGGAGGATACTATATTTAAAAGAAGAAAACTATCACAACAAGAGGACAGTCTTAAATTAGAGGGACAAAGGTTTAAAAATAATATCAGGAAGTATTACTTTACTGAGAGGGTAGTGGATGCATGGAATAGCCTTCCAGCTGAAGTGGCAGAGGTTAACACAGTAAAGGAGTTTAAGCATGCGTGGGATAGGCATAAGGCTATCCTAACTATAAGATAAGGCTAGGGACTAATGAAAGTATTTAGAAAATTGGGCAGACTAGATGGGCCGAATGGTTCTTATCTGCCGTCACATTCTATGTTTCTATGTTTCTATTGTAAGAGCCCAGAATGTTTTAAGTTCAGGGACATCTGTGGGATGCCAAGCATGCTCCCTGACTGTATATCTACCTGGATTGGTCTCAGTAAATTGACTAGCGTATAAATTAGTCTGGGAAACAATCTCCTCCCAGATGGTATCCCCTAAAAATAACTCCATATATTGTATAGGGGAGAAGTCAACCACAATCACATTAATGCCTGCGTTGGCACTAAAAGGGGGGATGTTGGGCTCAGCTGACTGTGGATGTATCCAGTCCTCCTCCACATTCGGCGTAGCAGGGGAAGCACAACTTCTTTTAGCAGCTGGCTCACACACAGATGACATGTCACAAGACGTGTCGCTAAACTGACCTGGGTCAAAATCGAAAGCGAGAAGGCATATGCCTCCTCCAAGCTGTACATGCGCTGCATGTTTCACACTAATAGACTAAACTAACCAAATACTAATCACAATTTTTTTTTTTATATATATCTATATTTTTTTTTTACTGAGACAGACTAAGACACATATTTTAAAAATAAAGTTAACCCTTAAGGGCAAAAAAAATACAGACAGTACAAATGCATTGTCTGTAACAGATCTGGCAGGGAAGGGGTTAAAAGGTTTTTTTTTTTTTTTTTTAATTCACTGTTGATACTTTTTAAAACTCTCTGTAACACCTGCTGCAACAATATATCACGATCTCTGTCTCTCTCGCCTCACAAAACGCTACAGAGGGGAGAGAGGCAGAGATCAGTGTCAAAGTGAGTGTTTGTAACACCCACTTTGACACCAGCCAATTGTGAGCGATCACGGATCGCGGATCGGTCACACGCCACAATTGGCTGTTACTATCTGCCTGGGATGCCGGGCAGATAGTAACAACAGGATTTCGGCGGAAGTGATCTCTGATCGCTCCCGCCGCCTGTTTTCCGTTAGGTCCTGAACCGTCCTCGGTCCTCTAGGGTTAAAGGGAAAATTGTCTCATTCAAAAGTTTTACCTCTGGAGGTGGAATTTTCTTTTTTCATATTTATCTGCTTCTTCTTTCCTATGCTTCTCACACCCACTCCAGGCGGGGACGGAGAGCACGGATCTAACCAATCAGTGTCCTATCCCTAGGAATGCTGGAATAAGTGCATTAGACATATGACAGATTTACACATGTACAGTTGGAAAATCTTTTCACTTTGCATCCTGACAGGGGAAGAAGGGGGAAGACGAGGGCGAGTCTGATCGTAATGCAGATCAGGCTCCGGCGTTGGTTTCTTTTCTCTACTGCTGCGGCACAACGGTGCCCTGTTTCTGTCATTAGTTGACTGGTCTGAAAGTCTGAAACTGAGATGGATGGGTAAGTGGGTGAGGCAGGAGAAACTCCCCTATCTGAGAGGCGTGCCCAATAATGCAATCTGACCAAGTTTATAGTAAGTTTATAAACTTTTATTACGTACTTTTCAACGTTTTTCTTGGTTTATTTGTTTGTATTTTTGTTTAAACATCTTGCTGGGTAAAAAAATAAATGTCAGGGGGCGGGGCTTAGCGGCGGAACGAGCCGGACGCCATTTCTGACAGCTCTGAGCAAACTAAAACTGAATCTGTCAAACATCACCGAAAATACATGCCAACCACGCAAACAATTACCAGCATTGCCCGAGGGAGTCCATCCTGCACCGCCCGATGCCATTTTGGTACAATTCGAGGCAGGCAAAGCCCAAAACGAAAATCTGGGCCTACTACACGCCAAACTGCCGCGGCCTGGAGTACTTGTGGGGCCGAGAGAGCCTGGGAGACCCAAGCGAAGACCATCTACAGGACCCCGACCAATCCAAGAGGAGATGGGGCGCAGATCACAAAGACCACACCAAGGTACTGCCTCAGCACTGCCTGATATAGGGGCATTGCTGCAGAAACAAACCCCAGCCAAAATGGCGCCCGACCAGGGCCCAGACCCCCCACAGGCAGATACCCCACCTGCACAAACCACTCAGGGGGACACACAGAGATCTCCACAGCTCACACAGACCACAACCACCAATACCCATACCCCCACAGGGATCAGCAGCCACAAAGCAGGACCTGCAGCAGTTGCAAACTATGCTGCAGGATATACAACACCTGCTGGCAGCAGACCTACCAGCGCTCAAAACGAGCATGCAACAGATCACAGAAAAAGTGACCACCACTGAAAACCAAGTCAAAACAATACAGGGAGAAGTCTCTACGCTACAAGATTCGCTCCACCAACTACAACAAGACCAGCAACGCTTAGCAATACAACTGGCGGTGCAGGAGGACAAAAACCAGCGCAACCACATCAAAATCAGAGGCATCCCGGCATCGGTGAGCAAAGAGGACCTACCGCATTACGTGAGGCGACTCACACAATCATTACTCCCTCCCGCAGTAACAAAGAAACCTCGCCTTTGCAGGGATTTACCGCCTACCCACGCCTCCTAGAGCCGCCGCAACGCTAGCCGGAGATGTCATTATCCGTTGCGCCCTACCCCAAGACAAGGGGCACATCATGAGCGCAATCAGGGGTAAGACCCCGCTTGATTTCGAGGAAACCCAACTGACCTTTTATCAGGACTTATCCAAGGCCACCCTCCAGTGGAGAAAGTCGCTTACTGAACTCACCGGCCACCTGCGTACAGCGGGGATACCATATAGATGGGGGAACTCCCGCTCTCTACTCATCACCCACCAGGGGACCACCCATAAAATCACCTCAGGGACTGAGGCCCCTACACTACTCACAAAATTGGGCCTGCAAAACTTGCCCAACCTGGGCACTCCCCACGTCTGGAATCCAGATGCCTCGGACACATTTGTGCCGAGAAGACAGAGAATGGACACGCAAGCCACCTGACGGACAGGGGGAGAGAGGTCTCTTAACCCTGCCCGCTCGACGGCGATATCCATATGTCTTGTTTACCACAACCTGTATTCCCCCCACCCTCCGCGCAATACATTTCTGATGTTGAAGTTCTTACCTGTTTACCGCTAGCTAGATGACTTAGCTGGCGAGGACGCTGGCGCGCTGCCGCATTACAAGACCACAAGCCATAGCCTAAGCCAAAACCTACCCCCCCGACAGCCCCTAGGTTAGGGCTACCACCCCTCATGAGTGGTCCCCAGCGGAACTAGATGACCAGGCCACTTCAGAACACGTGTACCACTCACCAGACTACTTGACCGACAAAACTACACCTAATGCACCCACACGGACCCTAGCACCACTCCGCATCTCCACGCAATTACTTCCTAACACCATTAGGGTCACGCGTTTGACACCAACCCATGACCTAGGTACTGCACCCGCAGACGTGTAACACGACTAAACCCCTATACGACCCAACCTCTACCTAGGATGTTACGCATGTTAAACTTAATGAAAAATTGTGCTAAAAATTATCAAATGCATTATCTAACAAATGTTTAAACCTGTTACCTTCTCAAACGATGCATACGTTGCAACATGTCTAACTCTTGTGCACGCAAAAATAAAGAATAAAAAAAATAAAAATAAATAAATGTCAAGTGATGCATGTCCCTTTAACGTATTCGTAATGCTATAGTGCCCCTGTCACTAATTAAATATAGCCTCCCCTCAATAGAAAATGATAAAATAAAGGTTTATACTCAGTATTTTGCAGGGCCCATGCTCCCTTGTTGTTGCTCACCTCCCCACCATAGGTAAAGCCATGAAGGATGCATGGCTTCCTCCGTAATGGTCTGATCCAGTGATCCTCATAGAGGAGCATTGGGGACCTAATGTACTTATCCAAGCTTCCCCATAGGCAAGCATTGTATTCAATGCTTTCCTGTGAGCTTCCGTGTCATGTGACTGAGGTTAACGCAGTCAGTGCAGTGAAAGTGCTTCTAGTGCCTCTAGAGGTGGATTTAACATGGCAGTTTCTAAAAAAAACATCAATGTTTTAGAAGAATAGGGCCTGCACACAGAACACATACATCATTGAGCTGAAGAGGTCAGGGTGACTATAGTGTCCCTTTAAGAAAAAAGAAATTAAAAAACAAAAAAGTATAAAAGTTCCTGTGCCATGCAAGTGGACAAAAGGCTGTCAAGATTTTCCTCATTTCACACTGCGGAGATTGCAGGATGGAGATATAAATGGACCTTGTGAATTAGAAGCATCCCTTCCTATATCCACACCCTAATTGTGGTTGGAACTGGGTCAATGCTAATGCTAGCTTGTGGCCCACATATTTTACTTAAATTAGTGCCTCTTGTTTAATTAAAATGATAAATACTCCACTCCCTATCGCTGACATAAATGTGAGTATGAGAGGGAGGGTATGTTATTTTTGCCACTTTACCTGAATACAAATAGTCTTGTATAACATGGGGGAAATAACGTTTAGTTTTTTTCTTAAAGGGACACTGTAGGCACTCAGAACACTTCAGCTCATTGAAGTGGTCTGGGTGCCAACTCCAATCACTCTTAATCCTGAGCATGTAATTATTGCAGTTTCTACAAACTGCAATAATTACCTGCTAGGGTTAAGTCCTCCTCTAGTGGCTGTCTACCAGACATCCACTGGTGGGACTTCAGGGTTCTTAGACGACTTTTGGTTGCCTAAATGACGCTGGACATCCTCACACTATACACGAGGACTTCCAGCGCCACCGGAATCCCCCTAGGAAAGCATTGAATAATGCTTTTTTATGGGGAGGTCCTAATGCGAGCACGGCCATTGCATCCATCGGCGGGGGAGGAGCGTAAACTGTCTATGTCACTCATCAGCGAGGGTGTAGCATTGACAGAGGGGGAAGCTATAGTGCCAGGAAAACAAGTTTGTTTTAAGTGTACCTACGCTGGGTGGGGGTTGGGCACAGGAATCACCAGTAGAGATTGAAATGTAGTTCTCAGATGTTTTAATGCCAAACAGGTGCTTAAAACTTTTCAGGAATGTTTGAGATTTATATACTGACAGACAGCGAGATAGATAGATAGATGATAAATGCATACAGTAGCGTAATTACATGGGGAATGAACGGTGTGGCGCCCCTGGGTGCAAAAATTGATGGCAAAGTAGTAAAGCAGTTGTGTGGTTTATGTACACATCAAGCCACGCACAGGGCAGCACTGAAGCTTCCTATCTGTCACTCGATGGCGATGGCTGTGCTAAGCGTATGGACATGACGTCACATCTTCGCGTTAAACTCCACCCACACTGTCGAGTGGCAGACAGTTTTTAACACCCAAAAAGTAGTGAGGACTCAGAACCGTGCTAAAGGGCAGCAAACGTCTTTTGACTGCCGTTGGCCTCTATTTTCATAATTGCTGAAATTTTACTTCCTCATTCAAAGACATGTTACATTTGGCATTATTGATGTAATACAATACACAAAATAGTTACTTTAGCTGAACCTGAAGATGATAAATAAGAACTGCTTTGAAATTTACATTATATATGTTTGTTTTTTTTTGCTTTAAAGGGGCACTATAGACACCAAAGGGGAAACGGAGGCGAAAACAATATTTTGTTTTGCCACAGGCAATAGATAGAATTTATCAACAATCCAATGTGTGTTTGTTTTCTGTATTTTATAGTGTAGGCCTGCTCTTACAAATACAGTAGGTTAATTTTAGTCTTCTTCTGAGACTTTTTCACTTTTGTTTCCTCAATTGATACAGGTAGTCATATCTGGATCTCATGTAGTGCTGTTTAGTTGTAGGACCTGGCTCCAGTCCACCATCTGTGGTCTATTATTGCACTGATAGTAACCTGAGGTCACCGCAAAATATTCTTAGCTCGCAGTTAATCAATGTACTAGTACTACTCTTGTTGACAAGAGCCCAATGAGTTTCAGGACAGAGGAAGTTATGGAGAACAATCTGTGCTAGACAAGGGTTTTATAGAACAGATAAAACAATAATCATACACACTGGAACAGATCATCTAGTTTGGTAGTAATAGGGTCAAGGACACGACGTTAACCTCTGTGCGTATATATTTGTTTTGAAAGTTTTGCTCGTCATTTATTAACCAAGTCATTATCTCGAAAAAAAAAATGTCTATATATATATATATATATATAAACATAAAGAATCCAGCACAGTCACTTAATCACTCACTAAACACCTGCTTCAAAGCTCACAAAATGTAATAATTTTTTATAAACACCTGACATGGACAACTGGGTCTTTTTTACAGTGTATGATCATACATTGCCTAAGCCTGCAACAACGTCAATGTACCCTATTCTTGGCAGGTCCTACTTTAGCAGCCTGTTGCTTGCTCTTATGATCCACTTACTTTGGAAATTCTTCGTCCTGGGACTCTCTGCAGGTCAAGGCTAAACAGGGGCCTGGAATGAGGCACCTGTGACAGGGAGGGGTGCAAAACTGGGGAGTTGGCCTAGACTCCCAAATATATATATTCTATTAATTATCTCTGCATATAAATTCCTCTGCTACCTCTTGTCTCATCTCTCCATGTTAACCTTCAGATATTTTTCCCAATTGTGCAGCGTTGAGGAATATATCGGCTCTTTATAAATGCCAGTAATAAAATAATAAAAAAAATGATATATATATGAAATCAAGAAGGCTGCCGTCAAGGGCGCTGCTGGGGCCAATTAATACAACATACAAGATCCAGCGCACTCAGTCACTAAACATCAGCTCACAGGATTTAAACGTTCCTATAAACACAGATTTTGGCAAAAATAATAGAGATTTAGTTACAGAGTTTGATCGTACAATTTATGTATATACAAAAAGCAATAATTGAAACAAAGCCACAAAATTATTTTTCACCATTACAAGTTTCATGGTTCAAAGTATAGAAACATAGAATGTGACGGCAGATAAGAACCATTCGGCCCATCTAAAACCGAATTTCCTTCAGAATGTGGAATTTGAATGTATGTCCAGTAATTAGTGTGGGTAACATTCCATATGTTTTCAACGCTGTATTGCTAACACTATAGTTCCTTCTAGTCCCCCCCTGCCTTGTACCTCCCTCACCCCCAAGGAACATAGGGATAAAACACTTTAATAACTTATCCGCCTCCCCTGACAAGCGCATTAGGCTCTACATTGCAGGACTAAGTGGGACTAGGACACTGCACACAGACTACTTCGATGAGCAGAAGGAGTCTGGGTGCCTACAGTGTCCCTTTGAAGCCTGAAATGTGAATTATGTGACCATGCACATGCACAATTCCTTCATATAACTATCCCCTACACCAGCGTTTCCCAATTGGTGTTGCAATTTTGGGCACCATTCTACATAAGGATATTTTGTCACCAGAAAAAGTGCAGAGGCTGGCTACAAAATTAATAAAAGGAATGGAACGTTTTTGTTATTAAGAAAGGCTAACAAATTTAAACCTCTTTAGTTTAGAAAAACGGTGCCTCAGAGGGGATATGATAGCATTATACAAATATATTCAGGGTCAATACAACCCATTGTCTGGAAATCTATTCATAAACAGGAGTATACATAGGACACAAGGTTACGCATTTAGACTGGAAGAAAGGAGATTTAGTCTAGCATATACAGTTAAATGTAAACACACAAAAAATGAAACAGAGCAATGCTTAATGGGACACTATAGTCACCTGAACAACTTCAACTTAATGAGGTTGTTCAGGTGAGAACTATAGCTCCCTGCAGCCTTTATCATGTAAACACTGTATTTTCAAAATACAGTGTTTACATTGAAAGCTAGTAACTCCTCCAGTTGCAGTCACTCAGAGTGAACCAGAGGGACTTCGGAGTTGATTGAGGCATAATTTGCCTCCAACCACTCAGATCTGCTGTCAGCAGAGCACAGGGCAGCACTGTGCACAGCATCCTGTGATTCAGTATCTCTTCCCTCTGCATGCAGACACTGAACTTTCCTCATAAAGATTCATTGATTCAATTAATCTCTATGAGGAGATGCTGATTGGCCAGGGCTTTTGCCGCCCAGGGCTGCC